TTCATGTACACTGATCATGTGTACCGTTGGTATTTATATCGTCCTTTTTCTTTTTTTCTTTGAAGCCCCCTCCATATTCACCTACAATGCCGTTCAGGATTGGAGGGCTAGCCTCCATATCGTCAGATACCCCTCACGGAATACACGAACATCCAGATCCACAAGTTCCTCAGCCCACGATGCATCCTGAACAGCATCATCACCACATGCACCCAGATTTGCATTCTGAATCTCATATGCAAGAACATGTTTCTGAACATTTGCATGCTGAGCATCTTCATGAACATTTACATGCCGAACATTTACACAACCACTTGAATGAGCACATTCACGAGCACATCCACCCAGAGCACGTCCACGCCGAGCACCTTCATCCAGACCACATTCATAAACATATGCACAAACACCGCATACCCCCACCACCATCAGCTCCCTCAACCTATACCCGCCAAAAACTCCGTACGACCCTTTCCCTGAAAAAACTGCTACCAAAACCTTACACAAAAAAGAAGTCCCCCTCCCCATCCACCAAACGCTCCAAACAAGTTACCCGAGCCTGCAATCACTGCAAAAAGGCGCATCTGGCATGTGATGATCAACGGCCCTGTCGGAGGTGTAAGCATTTGGGCAAGGAGGATTGTATGGATGTGGAGCATAAGCGACGAGGTCGGCCGAGGAACTCGAGGAGTAAGAATCGAAAAAGGTTCGAAGTTGGCTATGAGGAGGAAGAGGAGGAGGAATTTGGGTTTGCCGCGGCAGCTGAACCAGAGTGCTGTGAGGTGGAAGTGGGGAATGAGTAAAGCACAAGTGGCAGCGAGGTGTCAAGATAGGGTGTAATGGTGAAATTGGAAGAGGTTCAAAATGAAAGTGAAAAGTGTAACACGTATAAAGAGAGACAAGCCTAAGACAAGCAAATGCCACACAAAGTGCACACACACACACGCCGTACACAATCAGAAAACGCATCAACCTTCCCAGTGGTAGAGAACATTGTAGACTGTGTACGGACTGACCATTCAGTGTAATCATTATTTTTTGTTTAATAATCAAAAAATTTATAAGTAGCCTATTCTCTGCACCTAGTGTGCTCCCTTCGATCCAAATATACCATTACTTCTAATCTACCCCACCAGCTCATCAATCACCTTTTTTGTATCTGCGTACACATCTTCCACCGATTTTAAGCACGATACCTGCGGAGCAAGAGTTAGTACAATGTCTATGAAGATGCAGCATCATGGCTGGTAGATTACCGTCTTGACTTTTCCTTTTGCTTCATAGTGCTCAATGACGGGGAAACTCGTGTCCTTGAAGGTTTGGAATCTCTTCTTGATGGACTCTATATTGTCGTCCACCCGGCCGCTTGTTTCGCCTAGATGGGGAGCAATTGCGATAAGTACGTGGCCACAAATCCCCAAAGGGTTGCCCACAGGGTGTCCATAGGGATCCCCATAAGAATCCCAATCAAGGGATGCCCCGTGTACCAATGTACCATGGAAAACAAGACATACCTCTCTTCAAGAGACGCTTGAGCATTTCTTCTTCTGGACACTCAAAGTAGAGGATAAATTTTCCCTCGCACACCTATGGCATAGGTATGTAAACACTACGACATTTTAGCACGGTCACCTATTCGCATACCTCCTCTTCAAACTTGAGGGCCTGGTCCATCTTTCGGGGGAACCCATCCACCAAGAATCGACTTGAATGCGCCTCCTTCATGGCCTTGTGCAAGAGAGCAATAGTAATCTCCATGGGTACAATCTGACCCTCCTTAATGTAGCTGTTGATAAGCTCTCCGTATTCGGATCCTGATCTGTTTTGCTCGGCGCGCAGTAAATCTCCAGCTATATACGCGGGTACACAGAATGGAACGGATTTTCGTTGGGATCTTTAGGTGAACACTGTAAGGTTGGCTTGCCGGGTCTTACCAGAGAGATGGACAAAGCCATAGTCACGAACAAGGTTCGCACACTGCGTTCCCTTGCCAGCTCCTGGCCCTGTCATAACGTGTCAGACAGAATACCGCGATCATGCTACATCCGACACGCCTACCTCCGAGGACAAAAACGACGGTCGTGTCATCTGGCAAGGGCGACAAGCTGAGAGACGCAGCCGCTGATGGGAGCTTGTGTGCAGCGGCCGGAACGACAGCCTCGGCCTTGTGAGTCACTTTTTTCACCGCGTCCGAGACTTGCTCCTTTGCCTTTTGTACCGCCTTTCCAGTTGCCTCTGTGGCTTGTTGAGCCTTGTGAACGACCGTCTCTTTGACATGCACCACCTCTTCTCGTGTCTTTTCGACCGCCTGTTGTGCTGCCTTCTGAGTGGATTGGACAACCTTTTCTGTTGCTTGGATGACCTTGGCTTTTGCCTCCTTTGCCTTTTGAGCAAGTTTTGACTGTTCTTCTTTTGCTACTTGGGCCACCTTTTCAGCTGCCTTTTTGGCAGCCTCTTCAGCAGCTTGAAGCGCTTGATGTTCTGCAAATAGATATATTCAGACGATCAGCGTCATAAATGTGATGATCATCTGCAAAAATTATCTCTAGTACCTTCACGTTGGCGCTGTTCAACGTGAGTCTTCCATGTGGCAGCAACGCCAACCCCTGTGAGAGCAACAATAAGGAGGGCAGGACCGGATATTTTTGGGTGAGGGCCTTTGGGAGCGTCAGGGTGCGCGGGCAAAGAGGTGCTGGCGTGGCAAACTTGTGGAGCCAGTGTCCTTGTGCTGATGAGAGATGGGTTACGAGCACGCCGACAAGACGGGCGAATGAGGGACCTCCACATTATGGTTTTTTAGTATGAGCCCAAAGGAGGAAGCCCGAATGGGGATAAAGCTTTGGAGTGTCGGAATCTATCAAGAGGCAAAAGCTCATTAGGAAGAAGCCGTGTGCAGAGCGACGAGGAGAGCGGTGAATGTCATGGCAACAGTACAAGCCACATCGCTCTGCGCGTGTCTCACGTAATCTGCGATCAAATCCCCCCGCAGTGTTCGAGCTGTCAAAAGGAAGCGGGTTGGTTGCCATACAAGAAAGATTCAATTGAAGAAAAAGACGAGGAAGAAGAATGAACTCCTTTATTTTACTTCGATACTTTTCAGCAGGGAATCGAGAAGGAAAGAAGCCCGAGACAACCATCAGAAGACGTATGCTTCAATGGAGAAAGCACGGCGAAACACGACAAAGAACACTCTTGCAAAAGCCTTTACAACCATTAGACAAAGACATAACCAGAAGGCCTATTCTATCGCCTTTAAACTCCTTCGCTCCTTCACTCAAGTTCAGGTGCAACAGACAATAGAGACGAATGGTGTCCTCATGGGTCGCATAAACAGGACTCTCACCTATTCGTTCCAGTCGCTAATGCATTTCATCCTCGCCACTCTTGCACTATAGCAATGATAACGAGAGGGAACGTGAAGAGGCAGCGATGCGTAAAGGGGCCATTCATTTTCTTCTCCCTCTTTTATATCATCATCTCTTCCAATTCATCTCTATCCATAACCCATGGGGACTGACATTCGCTCACATGCTATGTGTATAGTAGATTAGTAAATTTCTACATTTTGACAGGGTCTCGCTTTTTTTCTTCCTATTTCCCTTGGGGTCACTTTGACAAGTTGCTCATCACATCACATAAACGCATGCCCACGCACGCACGTCCGCACGCTTACAGACGGGCGGAGAGGGCACAGACATTACACACAGCTGTGAGGGTCCCTGAGATTCACTCCACACTTTGCGCCCTTCTTTCTATTTCATCCTTGCTCTGCGTTGCATTTTCGGCCTTTTGGGTGCATTGACACACACGCGTCCATCTGTCTGTCTATCTGTCTAAAGTGTGTGAACGAGTTTACTTTACCCTTTTTCATTGCAAAGGATTCGACCACAGGTGCACCAGGTTCCGTAGCGCGCGTTACTTGATTCCCTTCCCTTTCATTATCCATTTTTCGCACGTCTCCGCAGACACAACTGCAATTGACAGGTTGGAGGTAGGATATAAGAATAATGTGTGGCATTCACCTTCTCCCTTGTGGTTCTCACTGCTTTTTGCAACCCACTTTTTTAGACATGGCCTTTTTTGCAGGTCGCTCATCCAGAGGCCATCTGGTCAATCTCCTTTGCGATACCTCTTCCACGCCTTCAGACCGATTGCACTCTACTACGACTACGAGTTGCTGCTACAATCCTTCTCCTTCTCCCACCACTACCCATACTTCGTCTTGCTCTTCTCCCACGCCCCCTCAAGACTCATCACCTCCAGCCTCGCCCGCTCTCTTTCACTCCGCTTCACCTGTTTCCTTAAGAGAGACTCCACTGATGGATACGCCGACCTCGCTCTTGGGTATGGTCGTTTTGCGCGTTGGTCGCGTTTTTCGTTTTGTGTACGGCGTGGAAGGTTTTTGACACATCAGTCTTAACTCCTCGTTAGGCTCGGTCTCGTCTTGCTCGTCTCCGTCCTCTTACACTTGTCCCCTGTTTGATATACCCACAAAATCAACTGGGAAACGGACGGCACCCGCGGGTCCCATCGTGCAGTCACCTGTCAAGTCGTCGACATCGGTTCATGCCATGGCTCATGGCATGTCTCAAGGTATGCCTCAAAGTATGCCTCACGGTATACGGCACGGTATGCCTCGCACCAGTCGTGGAGAGGCACTGAACAAGGATACCATCTCGGATGATTCGATTGAGAATGAAGAAAAGGAGAGGCGATACATTTGCAAGGAGTGCGACAAGGCGTTTACGACGAGGTGAGAGTCTTCAAATACCCCCATTTGGATTGTCGCATATTCCCAACTAAACGATTTTGATGGTAGTGGCCACCTGGCACGACATTTCAGGCGCGTTTTCTCCGAGTTTTCACTTGTCACGGACACTCCTTCTTAACCATCCACGTCTCTACAGGATTCACACGGGCGTCAAACCTTTTGCCTGTCTTCTCGAAGGCTGCTCTTCTCGGTTTTCCCGTCAGGACAACATGATGCAGGTAGGTTTTTCCGTTTTGCTGGTCCCAAAGTACAACCACGTCTCACATTCTACGCTGCCCACCTGTTGATCAGCACTACCGCTCGCACATGCTCAAACTCCAGCGCAGCGACACAAGCGGCCAATCCTTTGTTCTCCAGTTCAATCTTCCACCCGTTATGATGGGCACGTCGCCAACAAGTACATCCCGTCCCAACGTGGTCTTGAACCCGTCCTTTCAGAGAATGACCCCGAGGACGAGTCTGTCTGATGCACCCAAGAAGCGACGCCGACGGTCCAAGGAGTAGGAGTCGCCATCATTTTGCATGGCTTCTAATGGTTGTGTTATAGGGGATATATGGAATGTACATGTGTACGAAATATCCTTTACGTCGTGGTTTTGGTATTGTACGTTTGGGGCGTGGAGATTATGTGTGTGGGTATGGTGAGATTTATGCATCTGTACAGCATAATAGTAGTCGTGATGGGATATTGGACAAAGCGAGATACCATATGGATTTTTTGAATATGAACAACAGCAGTATTTTACGTTATCGTTAGGTAGGGACCCGACATATCCCGGGACGCGAAGCTAAGCACCGTCCTGTGCATGGGTAATCTTCTGAGACTTCGCCGTGCTGAGGACAATAACTTTCCAAATCGTCTGGACTTGTGTCAATGATGGTCATTCGAATTTCTGCCCTATCAACTTTCCATGGTAGGATAGAGGCCTATTATTGCTTTAACGGGTAACGAAGAATTAGAGTTCGATTGCGGAGAGACTCTGAGGAACGGCTACCACATCCAAGGAAGGCAAGCTTACTAGAAGTCGCTCTCCATCGTAAATTCTCCTAAAAGATGTGCCATACGGAGCGTGTTGTACGTACATCCCAAGCGCATAGCGAAAGCCACGCATTGATACTCTCAATGCAAATGAAAAACGCAACGTAACCATAAAATACAGCAAGACCCCTAAACGCCCTCAAAAATGCAATCTACACCAGCGAAAGCCGCCACTAAACCTGCAACGCACTTTCATCTCTTGTTCACAACTACAATGCACACAACGTCCTTCCACGGTCCCCGCTCGGCACGTTTCAAGACTCTTCCACCCGTCACAGGCGATATTGGACCAGGCGGGTATGACGTTGACCAAGTAAGTCACTCACAAAATGCTAAAATCGCACAATATGGCATGTGTGTAAAGTACGATTAGACAACCACCTTTACAAGCGCCCATAAACCCATTTCCAAACTCGGATTATGTGTTCGTACAGGTCAACGGTTTCGGACACCCTCCGCTGAGGTACCATACCAATCATCTTTTACACTCATTAAGAGCACTTGTCTGACAGCGTTTATACCCTAGTCCCCTGGTGTAGGCACCTACGATCCTCCGTTTTTGAACACACTAGATAAACCAGCTGTCAGCAGATTAGGCATCCTAGCATCCAAATCGCCCAAAAGTAGCCTCGAATCACAACTGACTCAAGTAGGCTTCAATTTTTTTGTTGGTTTGCATATGTCATTATTTATATTTTTTTTGAAGACTTTCACAATGGTTCCTGGCCCTGGTATGTCCCTGTCATTTTGTATGTAATGATTCAGATGTTGATTGTTTTATTAGGTACATATGATATCAATTATGCAATCGGCCGACATGTGTTCAATGATGATAGGTTCCGGATTTACAAGTCAGATAAAATCCTTAAAGTATATGAAAAGCTCATTGTCGTTCTCGTGATTTTGACTGGCTTTGGTTAATGGTTGGCTTTGTAGAGAGACGAGAAGAACAAGACGCAACTCGCGGAACTTCGTAAACTCCTCGGTGCTGGTGATTTGTTTACGGATAAACGGGCGTGTCGACGTATGGCACATTTAGCGTTGTATTATTGAGGTATCGTTTAGGTCGCTGTAGCGTAGTGTAGTCAGTGATTGTTGGTAGCACAGCTTGGTTTAGGTAGAGGTAGAGAAAACAGCAGCAAAGCATAGTATGGATAGTCGCATCTTGACAAATAGAGGTATTTTCAGCTCCCAGGAAAAGTGTCCCAACACACTTTGATTGTATGTTCACTTTTCTACGTTCATATCGCCGTACACTGGAAATGCACGTTGCATTTTATCCATGTTTTGGAAGATACTTGACTAGGCATTTCTACCATCGCGATGAAACCCATGGGACGTGATAGGTAGATGGGACACTTATATCGGTGAGCACGCTTGGCGGATGATTTTTGGATGGGGGTAATCCAAAGCTAGATAAAAACAACCAGTGAATACATAAACGAATAAAAGACCAATAACGCCATGTACTCACACAACCAACGTTCATCCCCACATCCCCATCCCGGCCTTCTTTCAATCCCCCTTTACTCTTGTCCCACCCCCCACCTACCAACACCAACCCCGAGACAAAGCAGCCGGTATCGGGAGGTGAAGTTTGCTTAGAGGATAGGATGGTAGCTTCGAGCTCGGTCGGTGTCTCGTGATATAGGGTGTGGTCAAGCATGATGGCATTTATAAACGCCCGTGGAGAAAACACCTTGCTCATATCATGTAGCACTAAATTACGCAAAGGATGGTCATGACTCTCGTAGCGGATAAACCACCACCCCTTAATGTACTTGATTCGTTCAAAGAGATCCTCCATCCACCTTTCAAGCCCTCCAAAAAACTCATAATATGGCCCTGTTTTCCATTCGTCTGGGAGATGGTTGTCGTTCAAAAGCATGACAAAGTTGATCGTACGGTGAGTAATGGGCGTGTGTCCAGAGAGTTGGGCCACGAGGGAGGTAACATCGGCACAGAGGGAGAGGATCATTCCACGGTATTGGACCATGTTATCTACCAAGAGTTTGTCTAGGTATTTTTCAGTGGATTTGGGAGGCAGGTTTGGCATAGGCGTCGAAGGATCTAGTAGTGTTCCAACTGTCGCAGCATTCAATCGGGATACAAACTGCGTGAGGCTGTCGAGTACCATTGCCACAAGGCTCGAGAATCGTGTCATTGGCACATCCAAAACCTCTGGATAGGCACAACAAAGTGTCTCGAGCAGATTGCTTGATATTCCGTCATTTAAATGCACCATGGCATTCGATTTCAATCCCACCATTTCCGGCACGATGTCCTCACTTTGAACGGTTCTTAATAAGCCCGGACCCACGTCCCCCTTTTGGATTGCCTCATCCACGACATTGACCCAAGCCTCTTCCCATCCGCTAGCAATAACGTCCCCAAGCAATGCCATCAATGCCCTTCGATCAACATTATCCTCCGCTCGTGCCGCATAAACCATCTCACCCACCGCATGTAAAACCCTCTTTCCACCACTCTTGGACGCAAAGACAGTACGAAGGACTTGAACAGCGACACTCAAATCTGGTAAAAGGAACATATACTCTTGGTTAAATCCTCCAAATCGGTACCGCATCGGCATCACAGTGTGAAAGAGGGCAAGATGAAAGAGCGCTGTTCGATATGCCGGGGTTGCCTTAAATTCAAACGGGTTGAGATGGTCTGCGATGGCTGAGAGGGATTCGAGGAGCCGTCGGGGAAGATGTGTGGGATTGGAGATCAAGGTCAACGAGTGGAGGTAATACCAGTGAGAAAGGGCCGTAGTGGAATCGACACAGATCCATAATCGGAAATTAGCATGGACAGTCTTGTCGGTCATATTTTGGAACCGGTTTCCAAGGACTTGCAAGGTCCGTCCGTCCAAGAGGTTTGCATTCAATAGCACTACCCATCGGCCCTTCGCGATAGCTTCCTCGACAATCCCTTCGACATCCACACCTCTCCCAACCGCCACAAAGAAGCAAGAGCTACTCATTCCCTTTCGGCTCGCCACAGCCCTCACAAGAGCCATGGGATCCTCCTCGCAACCTACGTTCACATAGAGTATCGGCCTATAGGCAATAGACGCTTCGACAACCTCTGCAACAACACCAGGCTCAACATCCACCACATCTCCAAACACTCGCCCAACAATTTCCTCCATGACCTTCCACACTGCATCTGGTCTCAAACACTTTAGCACCAGCAACCGCTCCACGATCCCCAATTTCGCCCACTTGTGCGGAAATTTCGCCGTCCACGGCTCATGTGCTCTATATACTGCCTCCCAGCTTGACTCAAATTCTGGTGTAGTTGCCAAATTCGCAAACCGAACAAAATCCAAACTAAACTTTTCGGCATCAAAAGGAGGAAGTTTCGACAATGACTGGATTTGGTTCCATTTTTGGGGTGCGAGCCAGATCGGTGACGGATTGGGTATCTCCTCGTGAGATTTATGTGTCGGCGGAGCACGGTTGTTGATTATAAAGTACCGATAAGCATCCGGGAGGTGTATACCCTCTGTGCTCACGGCCATCAAAAACCCTACCAGTACCCTCTCCCCTCTCTCAAGCCCTTTCACCAACCGCAGCATTTCACCCACACACGCGCGTTTCGCTTCGGCAAGTCGCATTGCATTCCCCTCTGGTATGGATCCCAACCCCCTCACACAGGACTCAATAATCGTTTCCATACGCATCAACCACCACGGCTTGACTCGTCCCATCTTGATGACGACATGACATAAAGTGGCACCAAACCGCGCTATACTCTCATACCATTCTAAGTGCGTTCGTAGATCCCGTTCCAGCTGGCGGAGCGATTTGCCTGTTTGCAGGATTGCCATACTTTGCTCGTGAACACCCACTAAGGAAGCGTACAAGTTCCCTCCCCAAATGTCTGCTTCCGAAAACTGGACCAAAAACTCACGGCCTCGCTTGGATAGGGTCGATAATTTGTGCTTATTCGCCAGGAACTCTGTATTGAGCTCATTTCTCTTGTCAAACAAGCGTGGATCCTCTTTTTGGAGGATAGCGTCCAAGAGTTGCGCGTATATTCCATCCGTGCAAACCGACACGTCAATATGCGCCAAATACTTTTGCCACTCCGCGTCGATGCCCATGTTCCGATGCATCAACACGTACATTCGAAACCCGGGATCAACGATCACCTTTTCCCCTTGGACAACCGTCTCAAAGCCCATTCCGAATCTTCCAAACCCATCCCAAACCACTCGTTCGATATCAGGGCCGTCTTCAACAATAACAGACATCCCTTTTCGCATTGCGCGTACCAGCTGCTTTCCGTCCCGCACGACATCAACGGTTCTTTCCACCATTTGCAAGGGAGGCCATACACGATCCAGCGGATCAAACAACAATGGAAATGCTTCCGTGTACTTGCTGATAAACAATGCATCGAAAGTACTCTCATCCAGATATGCACGCGCGGTAAGACACATTTCGTGTATACGCCCGTCGGAAAGGTAACTTGAAAGCGAAAAGGTCGTAATTGGGATATTTGATAATTGGAGGTGGCTTTTCCAGTGTGTGAGATGTGACTGTCGGGTTTGGAGGTCGTGGCCCCCCAAGTATGCTATCATCCAGGCTGCCAACAACGTCTCCCCAAGCAGCACCCTTTGCTTCTCAGCCAACCCCTTCACCTCCCCTTCCCAAACCCCCTTACAAAATTCCAACGCCTCCTTTATCCTCATTGATTCCTTTTGCCTCGCTTCCGCCTCCCGAAACTTGGCCAAAACTTCCTCCTTTTCGCGTATCCGCCGATCAAACTCGCATCGCATGGTGCTCAATCGCGTTTCCATATCACTGACACGTCCCGTCGCCATTGCCACGAAGGCCTTCTTTTCGTCCACTCGCACCCCAAGGCCTTGCACCTCCTTCTTTAGCGGAGCGAGCGATACCATCATTGTATGATACTTTTGCACTGCAATAACCCACCCCGCCAAAATCCCCACTGCTCTCGAAATCCGATTTAAATCTGCAATATGAAATTCTGGCTGCGATATGCACTCTTCAACTCGCAACATGTGTGGTGTTGAGACGCTTTCTGGGTCGAATGCCGCTATATGGGATGTGAATCGGTCTGAAAGGAAGCGACGGGAGGCCTCCCACAGCGTTTCATTGGGACGGAGGTCAAATCGAAAGAGAATCAAGAGGGCTTCAAAGAGGGTTTGAACGGGCCGTGGGGGATTGATCATGGATTTAATCTATAAAATATTGGTCAAAAATAATGTTTGAATGTAGAATTTAAATGCAGCCTTTTTGGATACCTCGTAAAGCTCGTTTCGGGATATAGCTTCCACAGCTTTCTGGGCAGCCGACAAGGCTGGCAAGACTTTTTCAATTTGTCGACCATAAGCGGCTTTGAGGTCCGTCCACTCTGTGACGAGTTTATCCAGTCCGTCTGTTTCCTTGTTGATATCCGCCTTGGCCTTATCCAACGCTATAAAACAAACGTTTTCAGCATGTTTGAGAAAAATGCATTATTAGTTCACGTTATTTTGATTACCTTCCCTCTCATCCTCCATATCCTTCAAATACTCCCTTGTCCGCCTCGTGGTCTCCTCGAACGTCTTTTTCCACATTTGATGCCCCTCCTCCAATCCCTTCACAACACTCATTCCCCAAGCGGATTTCTCCAACGTCGTTTGCACCCCGTCGACTTCTTCCATGCATACCGCATGCTTTTCCGTGTACAACCTCACAAAGATACGCACGGCAGTATAAAGGGATGTGTTGTGTAGGATGGGTGTGGAATAAACTGGTACAGGAGCTTCATTGTGGATTTTTGAAAACAGTCCTGGGAGCAGGTCGAGGTGGTGTTTTGCAATGGGGAGTTGTGTAATGGGCTTGAATTTATATTGGAGGGTTTCGTTGCTGTGAGGCGGGATCCATTGCAGAGTACTCATGGCAAAGGGAATGGGGTACTTGACCATCGTACGTACAAATGTGCCTTCGTTGTTTGGGTGATCTTGAGGAATGGAAAGGATAATGTGGATTTTGGAGCAGATGTAAGAGACAAAGCGATGGTAAACAGTGTCGTCTGTCACTGGTGCCGAGTCACGTCCACGTTTTAACCGCTCCTTAAAACCTTCCAGTATATTTCCTTTAAGAACGGTTTCGAAGATGTGGTCCGAATATCCCCATTTCAGGACCGAGCAGAGTTCAGATGACGTTGCAATAGTTTCATTCCATTCTAGATAGAGTACAATAGACTGGTCTTGTTGAATTGCAGTTTTGAAGACGGATGCCAGCGTTTCGTTTATTTGCATTGGATACCGGTGCTCAATCGCCACCATCCCCGCCATCCAAGCTGCAAGTTGGGTCAGCAGGAACCGGTCCCCATGATGATACCCACAGAGGACGACATGTCCCTCACGTAACCCATGACAGATCCGTAGCGCGGTTCCGACACCATCAACATGCATGATGGAGCGAACGTCTTCTGGACTGGTATCCCCCAAACTTGGCAAATCAAAACAGAGTCGCTGACTAAACTCGTAGATGCTCTCAATGGGTTTCCAGGACTTTCTCAGCTGCGTTAACGTTCCCCTCCACCCCGTATGACTCGGCATATAAATCGTTGGATCATCCTCTGCAAACACATCGCGATAGGCGATGCCATCAAACCATTTCTCAATACCCTCTTTAAATGCGCCGTCGAAACGCTTTTTTGCATCCTCTTCCACTAAGCGATCACGCATCACCCGATGGCACGCATGTCCCCACATATGCACGATAGCAGTAGTCAGAGTTTCTGTCTCTGCTTGATTTGCCACAGCGCGCAGGACGCTCAAAGCGTCCCGAAGGTTGAATCTGTATTGCGGTGTAACGGGGGTGGGGAGAAAGAGGGTTTGAACGGTTGTAAAGAGTTCCTGGGTCGCCTTTAGGAGTGATACATGGAATCCATCCTGCGCGGGACCCATAATGTTCACCAATGAATCCGTTAAAAGATTGCCGGTCATTTCTTCTAACTTGGCGCAAAAATCGTCGTGAACGGCAATAGGAACAAAGTGACGAAGATATCGCGGGGAAATCCTTGTGCTTGTCCCTGGATTTAAGTTCATGGCAGAAACGATCGACAGCCCTTCAACTGTCACCCAGTCTGTCCCATTCTGGCCACCATACCAACCTCCCCGCTCCATCCACGTCCTCCAGAACTCCAACACAGAATCAGCACCGTCATTCTCATACCCAACATCGTCTATAAATGCATATAGCCTCTTCCCAGCCACGCATCCGATCGTTCCCCGGCGTTTCTGTATCAACCTCTTCTCCAACTGTGCTTTCAGATCCTTAGCTCGCGTTTCACTCACCAGGGATACCAAGACTGGTACACCATTATATCCTTCCAAGTTCTCCTCATTCAACCCGCATCGCACAGCAGTAGATTTTCCTGTTCCCGGCGCACCAACCACCATCACCCGATGTCCTCGATTGGTCAATAGTCGCATGAAATAGGAAACTCGGATAATGTCGTCCGTTGCGACTGCCCCTTCCAGACCGGGCGGTACAGTCACAGCAAGATCCTGCTCATTGGGGAGTGTTTTCCAAGGCTTCCAGCGCAAGAGCCGTGCATCAAAGTAATAATCGTACACGGTCCCATCTGTAGGAACCTCCACCACGACCTTGAAGCACCCGTCGTCTAATTTAGCCTCTTCGCGCAGCTCGGTAAGAGCCGTCGTCAGTACCTGCGTCTTGATAAACGCATCCAATTTTCGTCTCGTCTTCATATCCGGAAAACACCCAACAGACCACAATATTCCCGTAATATAGCTTGCTACGATCCATGCAAGCTTTTCCGACACCGTGAACCGCCCAAAACCGTCCACGGTCAACTCATCAAAGACTGAAGCAAATATACGCCAAGCCTGGGCGACCAGAATCCGCTTGGAGGCCAAGAGCGTGGTTGTAGAGGATATGAAATCCAGTATGGCGTTTCCAATGTGACGCTGCATGGCTTGAATAAAACTGTAGTGGGTCTCTAGATGTGGTCGGAGATCTTTGAGCTCAGTTTGGAGAATATGGTCCATCGAGATTTGATCCCCGTTCATGTGTATGATGGCGCTTTGGGAGACGATTCCGGGCGATACGTGTTTAAGAGACGTTGCTTCATGTAGAATTCTGACAGACTTGCCGAGATGCATTGCGGTTGATATGGATGAGAAAACGGTTTTATCTCTCTCTAGCTCACCCACTCGTTCCATTGCATGGGCGGGTACGTCACCGTCCATTACAATCCACGATGATCCGACAAGATTTTCAGATCTGTCGTCCTCTTCCTGGTTTCTTTCCACCGTCATTGCATGCTCGTTGGCCTTGGATACAATGGTGGGGAGCACGCCTTGAATGAACTGACTGGTGGCTTCATCATAGTATCCGCCCAATTGTTTTTCGTCCATGGCTCCAGCATGACAGTCATAGACTTGTAATGACTTTACGATAGAGTCCTTGTCCAACGAATCCAAGGCATGGTGGAGAAGGTGGATCAGCGTCGATTTGCCAGACATAGCATCGCCGACAATGAAAATAGTTTGGAAATGTGTGAGAGATTCGTATAACTGGATAGATTTTTGGAGGAGGTAGTCTGATATGGGTATTCCGAGCTCCAATCCTGCTTTCTGGACAGCTTGCTCTATCCTTATCATGGATATGCCTTTCGGATCTTCGCCAAAGACTTCCCGAACGACATCCTGTAGAAGCGACGTATCCCTCTTTCGCAATTGTGGTCCCACGACCATATTCAGCGCCTCCACAATAGTCGAAACCTCCTTCGCAACCTCGTACCCCTTTCTCACCAGAAGCGTCCCGGCAGCGTGCACAACAGCCGCCGCTTTCTTAACCGAAAAATCATACTCATTGGAGGTGGGGAATATCCCTCCAAGACTCTTAAAAACGGCAACTATCTTCTTGGCAAGGATAGAAGCACGCTGGAATCCACGCGCAATCAGCCCGTCTCAACAAACACTTTCATGTCGGGCATCCCTATCCGCCACAGGTCGGG